TTGTCTATTAATGAGGTACTAAAAACTTTTCTACTCAAATCGTAACCTCATTTGATTATAAAATAGAAGGAAATGGTGGCCTATATAAATATTGGGTCTTTCGGAGTTACCTCCATCCCCAGCATGTTCTTTAGGCCAGGTGACCAAATATTTTAGTACTTGGCGTTTAGGCTTTTGTTGATATAGTTATATGTTGATATTGTTGAAGTTTCAGACGGATTTTGATTTGATAAAAAGGTGTATGTACCGCGGAGTATTACGGCATGAAGAGTAAAAAAAAAAATGAAGATTTAAATGGTCGAAATAATAATAAAATATTATCAAAACATATTGAGAAAAAAAAATAGAAAGTAATTTCCATCAATCGGTTCCATTGATTGAACCTGTCAAAGGTGTTGCAGAGATTGCATGCAACTATGGCCCCACTGCAATCACCTGTCCTAGGGTATTGTTACTCCAGCCCTGGAGAGGCTGTCCTCCAGAAGTCTTACGATGGACGTAGAGATATATTCCAGGAAACGCTAATTAAAATTAAGTATTCCAACCTCAACCCTGGCAAGAATGCAACCGGTCCCTTCACCGCTCACCGATAACCTCACTACGGCTGACAATGCGCCAACTATTAAATACAGTAGCTTATTTGAGTATTTTATATGTGTGTATATATAAATATATTGATTTGTTTACCCCTTGTTTTCACACTTAAAAACGAAATTTCAACTCACAAACCTTTAAATTCCTTCTCATAGAACTTATTTCTTCAAAATACTTTATCAATCATGCTAGTTGATACCACCTAGTTAATATTGCTCATTCTGCTGGATTATAATCCAATTATGGACTAAATAGAATGAGCTGTATTAACTAAATTGCTTGAAAATGGCATCACAGCCGAAACGTGGCCACTGTGGAGGATAAATGAAAATAAATGTGGTGAAAAATACAGCCTTTATTTATATGGCATATATTTCTCCTTTTCTCAAAATTAATCTTCCAAATATATTTAATGATAATGTTTAGTGATATTAGTATTACCTACCTATTATTCTACTATGATAATTTAAATTGCTTACGGGCAAAAATTAGTAAATATAACGACTTTATTTATCTATAACTCATTTATTTATTTATGCTTGGCTCTGGTCTCTATTTTATAATATTATTATTCCATAATTTATTTTGTAATTATTATTTTATGCCAGAAAAATGAAACTGTAATTGTCTGTAAATACATAAATGCAGGGAGAGGGGGGAGAATTGTCGTGAAACAAAAGTATGTGTGAACTTATTTTTAATGTATTCAGACGTTTCGGACCAAGTTTGTCTTCTTCTAGGCTAAGCGAAATCAGATAAAAATACCAAAGAATTTATCAAAAAATAATTTTTAAAAAATTTATTATTTCTTACCTTGTTTTATTTCCCATCTTATTTTCCTACAACCTAGGCTGTAATGTCAGCTCACATTATAAATAGTTTAGGCATAATTGCGTTTTCTTTCTTAATGCCCCCTCTCCCTACGTAAATTCTTTCCTCATCACATCTAAGTCCGATGGTATTTTCACTATAAAGCATGGTTGTAGTGTTTAAAACTTTTAAAAGAATTACGTCATGAATTTCAGTTTGGAGAGAGGGAATCAGTTTCAAATGGGCTTTTGGACAAAATCTTATAAAATATACATGAAAACATGATTTTATTATTATCTACAAACATGAGTGTGCTGTCTCATATCTTTAATCGTCCTCAATTGATTAAGAATGTAATTTATAAAAAACAAATTTCTACAATATCATAACAATCATGAATGGCTACAACCATATTTAATATCAATGTAAAATGTTTCGTCCAAACAGATCTGAGCTACGAGTCCAAGGGAAAGATTAAGGAACCTATTGGTTAAAAAAATAAAATAAAAAGGTAAAAAAAAAATAGATAACGCCTACTTATCAATGTTTTGAGAAAATCTATTTTGACCATCTATAAACGGAAAAATTATATAGTCCGTGGTACAGGGCCCTTTTTATCGAATTATTAACATCCTCCTGAAACTTCGTAAATAGTTTCATCTCATCGTAACCTACAACTATTTTATTTACGAAAACTCTTGGAGTGGAGCATTTTCAATCTGGAGGGGGGCAAACTTTGTTTATTTAATTATATGCTAAAAACTCGTAAATACTCATTTAATTTTTACTTAGTTCATAGGATAATTTGATCACAAAATCGAGAAAAAAGGTGGCTTTCAGAAATACTAAACTGTTTGGCGTGACCTACACTCCCAAATTTTTAAAATAACGAGGTTATATAGGACAAACGGCCCAACATTTTTGAAGGGCACTTTTCTCTCGATTTTGTGATCAAATTATCTTACGATTCAAGTAGAAAGCAAATGAGTATTTACAAGTTTTTAGTAGCAAATTAAATGAACAAAGTTTGCCCCTTGTCCAGATTGAAAACGCCCCAATTCCAAGAGTTTTCGTAAATAAAATAGTTGTAGGTTAAGATGAGGCGATACTATTTACGAAGTTTCAGGCGGATGTTAATGATTTGATAAAAAGGGGTCTGTGCCACGAACTAATATATCATAGTGTCTCAGACTGAAATTTGACTGCTTCAAATTAAAATACAGTATGAAGTTTATAGGATCCAAGAAAAATTAAAAAAAAAACAAATGACAACACGATAAAGGATATAAAATGAGTTCTCCAACGTTAACTGGACATTACAGAAACTTTATTCATGGACTATTTTATTCTGAGTGAATCTTGTATTTATTGATTAGTAAAGACATATTTATAAAATCATTGCACTTATGTGAACATTACAATATGGATAAATGAACCGTTGTATAAATACACATCCCCTATAAACACTTATAATTATATTTACATAGAATTACGTTAATTTAAGCTTTAATATCTAAAAAAAAATAAAAATACTAAATTTGTAATTTGAAACATCCCAATGAGCTCTTTCTACTAGAACTGTGGGTATATCGAATTTCTCATTCTCTTGAAATTTTAGCAATCGAAAAATGGCCTGGCTACATAAATAATTTAAAGTAAAAGTGGAACATTGTTGGATCGAACTATAATTTTAGCATGAAATAACAGCAATATAAATAATAAGGTAATAGCCAGTAGAAAGTATTTCACGGAAGAACATCTTTCATATAACACGTCCTTTCCTGTTTTTATCTGACAATGACTATCAAATATAAATTAATAAAATATTGTTTATAAACAACTTTTGTAAAATTTAAGTAATAAACTTTTATTATTTCCAATTATGTAATAATCGAATGTAACAACGAATCTGTATTTCTTTATGTAGCTGGCAAAGTAATCGTTATAATTTTATGTCAGTATTAATAAGGTCGAAAAATGATTATTTTTTTTTCAGAATAAAAATAAAATCATATTCACATTGCGTCTCTTATAATATCTTTATCTGGGGAAACTATCGCTACAAACGCTGTATGCTCTTTTAGGTCATGGCGTTTGAATTAATTAATAGCTTGCCTAAAAATTAAAGAAGGACATATTTTTCAAAATATTATGAACAAATATAACTTTTTTTTAGTACATAAATTTTTTTGTAAGAGTGACAGACATTTTTTGAACTTCTTAAAAATGAACCTTATGTCAATGTTAATACTTCAATACTTTATTTAAATAATAATTAATACTGTTATCAAGTGGAGGTTTTAGTATCATACTTTTAAGTTATTTTTGCAAGGGCAATACAGCCCATATGATTTCAGTTTTTTAAAATTGCTTCCCTTGAAAACGGTCCTAGGGATGAAACTTTGGTGTAGAAAAAGAAATTAAGTAGGGCTATTGTGATGAAATTGGTTATTTTTATTATTACTAATAAAGTGGATTCCTAATTTACAAGATTTAAAGATATATAATAATTTATTTTTTTAAGTTATAATTTAAATGGCGAATGGATAATTTGGGCTTTATCTGATTCATATCTTCATATTTTATTGCTCCTATAACTGATTACAAGTAAAATGTTATTTTCCTATAACACGCGAAAAAAAAAATAAAATAAAAAGTAAAAAGAATGCATTTATGGTTCCGGAAAGTGAAACTGTTTTTCTCTGACGGATTAGTTTGATTTCAATGCCATAAATATTACTGTCACTATTCCTCTTCGACGAAGCACTGAAAATATTTCGCCACACACACGCACACAGTTCTGAAGGACAGATATGTAAACACTCGCGGAGTTCGAAAGATACGATGGCGAAATAGAGCAGAAATCGTCCAAGGCTCGTAGAATCCAAGAAAGCACCAGTGTTTATCGAGTATCCATAACCAATAAATATAAAGTTGTAATCCAACAAATATTATTTATAAATAAAAGTAGCTATTTCTTCGAGGAGAAAATATGATAAACCTGATTGTAAGCATTTGACTAAAAAAATCCCAGTTTTTGTATGACAATAATTAGAGGTTCCTATAAAAGAATACATAACATTTTCAACAATTGTAAACAAATAAGTCTCAATTGCTCAACGCGTCTTAAATATCTTTTACATTTAAAGCACACAGTTTAAAAGCAGTATAATGTATAGTATTATTTATGTAATAACTTATATTTTAGCTACTAATTTAATATTATATATTTGTTTAAGTGTTAGTTAAAAAATAAAATAAAAAAATATATGAATTTATTCTGTGCATTTACAGCTTAGGCTTAGTTGAAATGCACTTAAAAAATATATCAATAATTTATATTTCAATATAATTTTTAAAACATTAAAAAAAAATGTTCTGATTGATTATACTCAGTTAAACAAATTTTAAACTTCTAAGATTGAAAATTGATAAGAACACAAATATTCTAAGAGAACACTGACGAACGTAGAAGAAGAATAGCTAAAATATCGAACACGACCCAAGGTACTATATCGTGTGTATATTATCACTATTATATAAACATATATACACTATATAATATATATATATAAATACAATTCTAGCTGACTCACAGAAAGAGACGAAAGGTATCGAGGGTTAGTTAGTCTTGACTCGGATGGTTGCTGACTGTTGACTCGCCTATCCCCCTGCTAACCTCCCCACCCCTCCAGCTTTCTCTTCAGCTTCTCCAGCCTCCAGTCACTCTCTTCTTATCGCCCTTATCACAATCAGGATCCAAATATCAGAACAGTATATGCCAAATAAGTCATATACGGTCCAACTAAATCCTTTCCGAAAATCCAGCTTTCTTCTAATCGCCCAAAAAACAGATCAGAATACCGATGTCTAGCTTTCCATTCATAACTCATTTCAAGCATAGGTTTGTTGCCATAAAATTAAATGGGATATTGATAGTCGAAATATCACCTCTACTAATCTTCAGTACAGGACCCTTTTTATAATTTTTTTTTTATTTTTTTATACTTTCTTTATTGAATATTAATACATTCTACCACATTGAAGGGCAATAATATTAAGGCTACATGATTCATTCACACAATATGTACATACAATTAATATCAATAATAAAGAAAAAGAAATATAAAAACAATAAATTAAGTAAATTGGTATTCCTGTGTACAAAAAAAAAATTAATATAATAGATAAAAGCTAGATGAAATTAAAGTAAATAAATCACATTCACACCTCTATGCCATGCCTTATTCCCCGACGTGTAAGCCAAGGCAGGACTCCAGGAGATCCCAGTGCTTCTCTCTCAGCCGCGTCACTGGTATTTGAAACCAGTGGAAACTGATGGAGGGCACTATAGCAACAGACGCTCATGTCTTAAGTGGAGAATCTGACCATTGACAGTACTCCATTTTATAAAATTAATAACAAAACTTCGAAAATCTTATCTTATCCTACAACTTTTATATCTACGAAAATTCATAGAAATGGAGCGTTCATTAAATTAATTTATTTCATGAGCTACTAAAAACTAATTAATGTTCATTTGTTTTCCACTTGACTAGTATGATAATTTAATTAAAAAATCGAGAACAGTGTGGCCTACAAAAATAGTTGGGCCGTTTGGCCTATATAACCTCATTATTTTGAAATGTTTGGAGTGGAAGTCGCGCCAGAACGTCCTAGTATTTTTGTTGGCCACTTTTTTCTTTGAGCTTGTTTCAAAATTATCTTACGGTTCAAGTGGAAAGCTAATAGGCGCTTAAGAGTTTTTAGTACATTATTATACATACAAAGTTCAATCTCCAGATTGAAAATGTCACATTTCCGAAATTTTCGTAAAAAAAAAAAAATATTAGCTTACGATAAGATGAATATATTCACGAAGTTTTAGACGGATATTAATAATTTGATAAAAAGGGGTCTGTAAAGCGGACTACAAGACCAGGCAGCGCCCATCTCACACAATGTCGGAAAATGTGATTGCACTCTTTTCATGAAATTTTAATTTTTCTCTTCTTCAACTCTGCAAGTAAAAGCAAAATTATAAATAATTATTCATGCACAATTGATATAATTTATATAAAATCACACTTCCCTAGGTATGTTCCATTCGTCTGGTTTCTAATTGGAATTCGATAAGCCATGGTGTCCTTACAAAATTCATAACCCAGTAAAATGTACTCCCCTCAAAGACGAAAACTCCGTAGAAATTTTGGTGGAACAACTTACACAATGCCATCACCCCCATCTGGGCACTCCTGGTAATGTACTGAAAATGAAGCAAATCATGGTATTCGCATATTTATCGTTTAAATATGAAGTAATAGAGTAATCAAATGACATTAAAGGAAATAAAGTAAATATATTATTCTTGAATCCGAGCGAAGTGAGGGTGGAATTGGGAAATATTTGAAAGGGTGATAGTAGACATCATCATCATCACAGGGACTACAACCCGGTATGGGTCTTCACAGTATCAATACGTCGCCTCAATTCCTCTTTGTCTTATGCAAGGATCTGACAAGCTCTGGTGTCCAGAAGCATCTCTGCGTCGACTTGGACCTCATCTGCCCATCTCAGTCGTGGCCGTCCTCTCATTCTTCAGCCATACACATTCCCGAACAGTAGCCGCTTGATTGGTGAGTCCCCATCCATCCTGGCGAAGTGCCCAGCCCATTTTGATTCAGCAGAAAAGTAGGAAATATAAGTTTTGTGTTTTTTGTTGTCATCCTTTTTCTTAAATAGGAAGCGGTAACTAGAAAAAAACTTAATTTTATTAATTACCTATTACTTCACAGTAAACTAAATAAGTTATTTAAGGAAGTTAGTCGACTGTTCTACATATCATAGGTGATAAATAGTCAGAACGCAGTCATTTTTAAGCTTTTTATTGGTGCCGACGATTCAACCAAAGCATGTGGGTCCTCATCTGGACGTTTTTCAAGCACTGAAGGTATTCAACTACTAAGGCTTGAACTTCGGGCCGAAACGTCTGCAAATATAAAAATAAATATTATTATTTATTTATGCCATTTTTTATTTGACCCCAGCCATCCTTCTCTTCAACTATTCACTACAGTCAACCATCAACCCACAATTAAGAAAAAAAAAGATGAGGAGGTAGTCGGGGGTGCGGTCAGATAAATACTAAATTAAAATATAGCAATTATTTTATTTTAATTTTGGCGACGTTTCGACCCACTTTGCAGGTTGTCTTCAGGGCTACAAAAGATACAAAACATGTTGAGAATAAAAATTAAATATAAGTAGATATAAAATAAGAAGAAGTTGTCAGATACAGAAATAAGAGATGATATCAGAGATATAGTGGGTGACAATGTAGTAAAATATTAAGTATTATAAGTAAGTATTATATTAAGTATACTTAATATTTTACTACATTGTCACCCACTATATCTCTGATATCATCTCCTATTTCTGTATCTGACAACTTCTTCTTATTTTATATCTACTTATATTTAATTTTTATTCTCAACATGTTTTGTATCTTTTGTAGCCCTGAAGACGACCTGCAAAGTGGGTCGAAACGTCGGCAAAATTAAAATAAAATAATTACTATATTTTAATTTAGTATTTATCTGACCGCACCCCCGACTAACTCCTTCTCATATTATATCAACGGTCAACCATCTCTACATCATTAAGAAAAAAAAAAGTTTTTTATTGGTGCATATTTTCTCTTGAGAGAGCAGTCAGAAAAATAACTGAGACATATGACACTAAAGAAAGATTAAAACAGGATTTAAGAGGATACTACGGTATCCTGATCAGAGTCAGATTGAAATTAATTTTTATATATTAATTGATGATCGATTAATTGAATGTATTAACATAAATGATGGAGTTATAATGAAGTCGGTTATCCGCCGCATAACCGACTCAATTCACTTTCTGACCTGTTTGTGGTCCCCTGCTTCACTTCCATAACGGTCAGCCATCCTGTTAATAGCTCTCCAAATGCTATGTCTAGTTTTCACCTAAAAGGCTCGTTACTTTCTACTCAACCAGATACAGATAGCGTTTATATCTAATTACTTAGTACGAAAATTGTTGATAATATATCGAAACAGCCAGAAACAAAATAAACTATTAAAAAGGAAGGAGATGGTCCGGGGTTGCGGTCATAAATAGGCTAAATAGTGGTAAAACTATTTTATTGAAAGCCAACGTTTCGACCCGACTTTGCAGGTCTTCATCAGGGCTAGAACGGACAAGATAGAGAATTGTGGCAATTACATAATATTTAGACATAATTTATAAAAAATGTGAATAAGCTTATTAAAATTATAAACAGTAAGTACAATAAAATATGGACTAAGTAAGCTGAGTAACAAGATCCTAAACTAAAGTAAATAGATGCTAACAATTGTTGTAGTGTAATATATAATAAATGAAAATGTGAGTATAATTCTACAAAATTTGCAGGAGAAAAGTAAAATTAGAGACTTACAGGTGTGTTCATTTAGGAGTTTTAATTAGAACTGGAAAGGCAGCGGTAAGGATTGCAGGTATAGGGGAAGTTAATATGTGTTAACTAAGTAAACTTTGAAAAACCCAGGAAATTACAGTATCTAAGAATTTTTGAAGATATGGATGGATACAATGGAAAAATACTATATCTATGAAATATTAAATTATAAATATATAAATATACATATAAAATAGAGTTGAGAGATGTGAGAGGTATTTCATGATTCTAGATCAGACTATAATGTGAATAAACCCAAAATTGGCAAAAGTAAAATATAAATATAGAATTTTGGGTTTATTCACATTGTGGTCTGATCTAGAATCATGAAATTTTTATAATGCAACGGTCAACTATTAAATATTCAAAATAAACTATTCTTCGACATAATTATTAAGTACTAAGTGCTTAATGAAACTTTTTGAGCATGATTATAAGAAAAAGAAATAATCAGGAAAATTATATAACAAAGCTTATATTTTATTTTTCTAGTCATATCTTTTAGGTTCGGTGTCATTATTTTACTAAAGTTTTATAAACTATTAGGCCAAAGTCACCAAGTGTACTCAGTTTTTTACATCCTTTATTATTTATTCGAAGTTTCGGCTTCAGGAGTCATTTTAAAGATCCTGGAAATTAATTTTAATTTAGTTGTTATACTTCAAAATACATCCTTATAAAACAAATATTAATTTAACAACAATCAGTTATATAAATAGTTCAAATTCTGTTTTATAAAAATTTTACTAGATAATTAAATTCAACTGGGATACCAGCACACAACCCGGAATCGAATAAATCAAGAAAAATGGAAGATATTTAAATTTGATGTTATTTTTAACCAAAATGCTATGATATAAAAAAAAATTATAAAATAGAGTTTTTACTATTGTTGATAAATTAATGTGTTTTATAAGGACGTATTTTGAAGTATAACAACTGAATTAAAATTAGTTTGCAGGATCTCGAAAATGGCATCTGAAGCCGAAACGCCGAATAAATAATACAGGATGTATAAAACTGTGTCCTAATGACCTTTGGCCTAATATTTTATAAAACTTTAATATTAATATTTTATTAGTTATTATTTTTTTAAACAAATACTTCTTTGTTAATTATAATTTCATATTACATATTAAGATGTGAAGAAAAGGATCTTAA